CCCGCCGAGCCTTCTCGGAGGCCCTCGGCGGCCGTCGGGGCTCTCCGTCCGAGGCCCTCCGCGGCCCTGCACAGAGGCCCCCGCGGGCCCCTGGAGGCCCCCACGGGCCCCGCGGAGGCCCTGGGGACCTCGCAGGGCCTCGGCGGCCGGTCGGCCGCCCCTCGGAGGCCCTCGGGGGCCCCCAGAGGCCCCATGCCGCAGGTCCTCGGCGACCTTGGGAAGAAGGAGCAGCGGCACCACCACCAGCGCGGGGAGCCTTGGGCGGGGTCCTCCTGGTGGCGTGGTTCTCCCCTCTCGCTCGAAGCATCTCGGATCCCCAGCTCGCGTGGGAGGAAGCGTACGGCAGGTTCGCGTTGTGACAACCTCGGCGTGGATATCTGACACCGCATGGATCGTTGGACATGGAAAGATTGGCGGCTTTCCGATCGACAGATCGTTCCATACAGCGGAGACAGACGAAAAGAAACACCCTGCTTGCCCCCAGGGTGCCCTGGGTTTCTTGGGTTCGATGGTTTTGCTGTGGAAAGCGCGACGTTCCCACACAAAAAATCGATGGACGTCCTGGCGTCTCAGGGTTGGGTTTTTTGGTGGAAGGTTTCGTGTGGACTGGCCTCCACTGTGTTGGCCAACTCTACGCCACCGGGGGTGCTCAATCTTGAACGCCTGCGGCGGGGTCGCCGCCACGTTAGCACGGCCCGAACGTACCGCACCGCCACCCTCGGCGACACCCAAGAGCGACCCTGGGCAAGGGTGACCTTCAGTGCGATGGCGGCGCGAAGTGGCCAAATCCAAGCGCACAAGCAACCACTGTCGCATCGCGTTCAACGATCGGGGGGACCCCGGCGGGCCCGTTCAAAAGATCACTCCAGCGAAAATTGTGTTGCATATATGGGGGGCCGTATCTGTCCCCCCGCGCCGCGATCCACGTCGAATGCATGTCGAATCCGTGTCGAACGCGCGCGCGTAGAATCCGTGTCGAATCTGTGCCGAAACCGTGCCGAATCCGCCCCGAACCTGCGCCGAATCCGCGTCGAACCCACGTCGGCGCACGAGAGCAGTCTGCGGGCCCCCGAATATGCAAAGCAACTCACGAAGGGTCACTCTCGCGTGTTCGAGCCCCGCCCTCCTCCGACCCGAAGCGGCTGCCCCCCGGCCTCGACCCCCCCGCGCCGTGGGAACGGCACGGAACACTAAAAAGCACTACGGATCTGCTGTGAGAGAGCGCGCGCCCATGGAACACTCCGCCCCCCCCTGGGACCTCCTCTCCTGCCCGAAGCTCCCCCCCTCCCGCTTTTTTCCGCCCCTCGGAAGATGCCCCCCCCTCCTCCCCTTTCATGCTTCAGAAGCTGCACTCCCCCCCCGCTTTTGGCTCAAGGAAGGGGCGCCGAAGACAAAAAGGGTGTGGGGAAACCGAAAAAGCGCCGAAAAACAGAGGCGCGCTGGAACGCCGAAAACCGAAAGGGCGCGAAACCGAAGGCGCACCGAAAACCAAAGGGCGCCGTAAACCAAAAGAACGCCGGAAACCAAAGAAGCGCCGAACACCAAGGTGCGCCGAGAACCGAAAGGGCACCGACAACCAAAGAAGCGCCGACAAACCAAAGGGGCGCCGAAACCAAAAAAGGCGTCGAAAAACAAAAGGTCGCAAAAAAACCAAAGAAGCGCCGAAAACCGAAAGGGCGCCGAAAACCAGAAAGGCGCCGAAAACCAAAGGGCGCCGTAAACCAAAAGAACGCTGGAAACCAAAGAAGCGCCGAACACCACGGTGCTCCGAAAACCATAAGCAGCGCCGAAAACCAAAAGGGCGCCGAAAACCAAAGGGGCGCCGAAAACCAAAAAGGCGCCGAAAATCAAAAGGGCGCCGAAAACCAAAAGGGCTCCGAAAACCAAAGGGGCGCCGAAAACCAAAAAGGCGCCGAAAATCAGAAAAGGCTCCGGACACCAAAGTACGCCGAGAACTCAAGGAGCGCCGAAAACCAAAAAGGGCGCCGAAAACCAAAAGGGCACCGACAACCAAAAGGGTGAGGGCACCGAAAACCAAACAATCGCCGATTACCAAAGGGGCGCCGAACTTCAAAAGGGCACCGAACATCAAAGGAGCGCTTAACACCAATAGGGCGCCGAATTTCAAAGGGTCGCGAAACAGCAATAGGGAACCGAACATCGGACAAGCGCTGAAAATGTCCCCCAACCAACCCGATCCCCTTATCCGCCAGAAGCGGACAGCCCAGCAAAAAAGAAGCAACCGTAACGATTTCCAAACAGGCGACCCTTCCCAACTAATGTCCCGAGACTCTAAACAGGGCTACGTCTGCATAACCTCCGCAACAAACACCTGCACACAACCACCGTGTCTGGCTAAGGCCGCCCTCGGCCCTACACACACTTTCGGTGATCGTGGCCCCGCGCGCAGCGAGAAGGCGAAGCGAGTCGAGCAGACAGCACGGACCTAACGCGCGCGGGCGGGAACTCAGACGCGGGACTCCATTGGATCAGCGCACCACCACACACGCCTACACGCACGCACACACACAGACACACACGCCCACACACACACCGAGCTCAGCAATTCTACGGGTCTTTGCTTTGGGTGCGTGGTGCAGCCTTCGGCATCGCCGTCGCCGTCAGCGTCGTCGCCGTCCCTCGGCGACGCCGGCGCCGACGACGGCCGTGGCAACAGCGGTACAGGCGACGACGGGCCGCCGCCGCATCGCCGCCGTAACGACAGCGGCGACGGCGGGAGCGACGGCGGCGCCGACCGCGACGATGACGACGGCGGCGGCGACAACGACGGCGGCGATGGCGGCGACGCGAAGACCTCGATGGCGGCGACGACGCCGACGGTGACGATGACCGCGACTGAGGCGACGACGGCGGCGCAGTCGAAGGCAGCAGCAGCGGCGACGGCGCCGACGGCGGCGACGTCGGCGGCGCTGTCGACGACTGCGGCGACGTCGGCCACACAGACGGCACTCGAACGCATCCCGAGCGAGTGTGCAGCGTGAACGACGACGCGCTCGAGCGTGTCGAAATGCATCATGATGCCTCCGATGCTCTCGACTCCCCAACGGAAATTGCAAAACAGCGAAAGCACACGCCTTCGGAGGGCTCGTGCTTTCGCTGTTCTGGGCGCATTGTCAGAATCAGACAGTGGGTGATTCTTTTGATGTGTAGTGCCCCGTCTTTCGAGCAGGGACCGACCGTCCTGGCATTGCCATCGTCCTACCACGAAACGCTCTTAGAACAAAATCACGCTCATGAGCAAAACCGCTGTTCTCAGGACATAAAAGCCGACGTACTTTAACAAGACGGTCCCAGCCAGAAATGTTCGAAAAACATGTTGTGCAAGCCACGAAGGTTTCTTAGACCATTCCTTGGTGGGCCGGTGTAGGCAAACCAGGAAGCCTCGCCGCTGCTTGGTTCTTGCTGAACATCTGGGGTCTCAGTTCAAACTTGGGTTTCGTGTATGCCTGAAGAGGGGGGGGAGAGGCTGACAGAGGAGGGAGATCGGAGGAGGAGACGGAAGAGGAGGAGGATGGCTGCAGTGAGGAGGGGCGAGGAACAGGAAGAGAAATGAAGAGGATGAACAGGACGAGGACGGCGGGTAGGCTGCGTCGAGGCAGTCCCCACTCGAGTGCTGGTCATGCACATGTGGGCGACTCCAATATAAGCCGCCTTTCGCTGACCTTCTGCCGGCCTGGGCCGGCGGAGCCGCCGCTGTTTCACTTCTGAGGCCCTTTCTGAAATGCGCCGTGAAGGCGCATGTGTCCCGCCTGTAGTTGTGCCACACAAAGCTCGGGGCAGGATGACGACGACAACCGCGAGGGCCATCTGCATATCTGGTGACATCTGCGCTCACCCGCTTCCCCGTTCATCTTCGATCACCTCATCCTTCTCTTCCTCCGCCTCCTTGTCAATATTAGTCTCGTAATGATGTCAACTATGATGAAGTTAGCATATGTCAGCATTATGTGTGTTATCTACATACTATGATCATCACCGCCACCAGCCCTCCAACTCCTCATCATCATGCTTATCGTCTCCTCCTCATCCTCCTCATCCTCCCTTTCTCGTCCGTCTCCCCATCCTCCTCAAAATCATCACCACACCATCACAATCGCCATCACGATCACTGCACCATCATCATCATCGTCATCATCATCATCAGCAGCAGAATCAGCATCATCATCAGCATTGTCATCATCAGCATCATCATCATCATCGCCATCATCAAACTAATCGCCATCATCGTCACCATCACCATCACAATCATCATCAGCATCATCATCCATCGTAATCATCATAATCATCATCGACACCATAATCATCATCAGCATCAGCATGATCATCATCAGCATCATTATCAGCGACAGGAGCATAACAAGGATCAGCATCACCTCCAGCATCATCAACAACATCATCATCAGCAGCATAATCAGCATCAGCATTAGCATCATCAACATCATCATCAGCGTCATCAGCATAATCAGCATCATCATCATCACCATCATCATCATCTTTCATCATCGTTATCAGCATCAGCATCATCATCATCATCATCATCATCATCGTCATCAACATCGTCATCATCATCACCAGCACGATCACAGTCACCATCACCGTCACCATCACCATCATCATCGCCATCAGTATCGTCATCAGCATCATCATCACCATCTCCATCACCATCACCATCATCATCATCATCAACATGGTCAACATCATCATCGTCGTCGTCGCTTTCACCGTCATCATCAGCATGATCATCATCATCATCATCATCATCATCATCATCATCACCCTCCCATCACCATCACCACCATCATTAGCATCATTAGCAGCAACAGCATCGCCATTCCCGCCACCATCAACATCGTTCACATCAACGTCGTCGTCCTCCTCATCCTCCTCATCTTCCTTCTCCTCCTCTCGCCTCCCTCCCCTCCCCTCTCCTCCCCCCTCCCTTCACTCCCCTCGGTAGCTCCTCCTCGTTTGTCCGGCATCTAGCGGCGCGAGCGGGTGGCCTGGCTATCTTTGATGGGGCCCTTCCCGAAGTACTCCAGCCTGCGCGGCGCCGCACAGGCTCAGAGTCTTCTGGCCAAGGCCAGGGTCAGTCAGCATCGAATTGGGAAATCGGATCGAATCGAAATGTGCGCCGGAACTGGGGAGACCAAAGTACCGATGCGGCCACTCCCGGACCACTCCCGGGGTGCGTTCTGACCAGGATTTCGGGGCGAATCCAGCGGTGGCGACGAGGGCCTCCCAGGAGGCCCAAAAAGGGGAGAACGGGCGGGAGGTTGCGGTATGGGTCGGTATGGGTACCTTTTCCTCCTCTGAGGAACAGGCCGCGTCGGCACCAAGCCGAGATCGAATCGGATCGAGCTGTTCGGAGTCGACATCGAAGCGGATCGATCGGATCGCAGTAGCCCCTGACCATGGCTGGCGGCGTGCACGGGGTGACGGGTGGCGGGGCGACGGGGGGCGGGCCCTCCCGCCAAGAGAGCGAGGCAAGGGTGTAGAGAAACAGCGCGGCGGCGAGCGATGGGGGGGGAAGAGAGAAGGAGGATGCCTTCTCAGAAGGCTCCGACGTCCCCCAGCCTTCTGATAAATTTTCGAAGCCTTCCCCGAAGGCACAACAGACATCTCAGAAGGCCGGAGGGCTTCCGAAAAGCCCCGCCGCCTTCTGAGAGGGCCTTCTCTTTCTCACTCCCCCCCCGCTCGCCGCCGAAGAACAAGTCTGCGTAAACATGAAGTGTCCAGAGGTCCGCGACGATTTTTGGGATCGGCGGTGGGCCTCCCTCCCAGGCGCGCGGAGCGCGCGCGCCACGGGCACCGCCAGAGGCACACCCAGCGATCCAAGAGATCCGCGCGGACCTCCGAGAAAGAATGCTTGTGCACTTGTCGTGTTTCGAAAGGGGCCTCTCGGGTTGTTGTCGGCCCTCCCCGAAGAGGCTTCTGGGACGGCCCCTCGGAAGACGGGGGACGGATATCTCTCAGCAGGCCGTCGCCCTCGCTCCCCGCACAGGTCCTCGTGCTGATGCTCCTTCCCTCTCTTCCCCACTGCCCGTCTCTTGAACCTTACACTGTCAGAGTCAGGAGTTTCGCGCAAACGGTAATCCCCAGCCCCAGGGAATAACCCCTTCTGGGGATAAGCTCTGGGTCCAGACGGGATAATGCAAGATTTCCCGGAGATCTCACCATCATGGTGAAGATGCTGACGATGGTGATGATCAAACTGGTCCTGAACGCTCATAAGAATAATGTTACAGTCCTGTGGCAATCCACAAGAATCCAATTGACTTCCAAGGACTCCTGAGGATACCCCTTGGATCCTTTAAGACATCCATTGGATTCCATTGGAAATCCACAGGACCCCTCTGGACATCCATAGGATTCCTTGGGATATCCATGGGATTCCTCGGGCGATCGGTAAGGATCTCCAGGACATCCATCCGGCTCTTTTTGATATGAAAAAACGTATGATTCTTTTTGTAATATCGATAGGGTTCCGGAGGAAATCTGCGAAACCCCTTTGGGCATCCACTGGGTTCCTTAGGACATCCCGTAGGATACCCATGGGATTCGTTAGAACATCCATTGGGTTCTTTCGGCAATATATAGGTTTCCTTAGGACATCCATATCAATCCGAAGTAATTCCCTCGGGCTCCTTGAAATATCCAAACGAATACGTAGCAAGTCTGTTGGGATCAGCTGCAGTTCGGAAGCCCATACAATGCCGTAGGACATCCATTGGACATCTGAAGAATTCAACAATATTCCTCTGGAAATCGATCGGGTGTATTAGGAAACCCATCAGGCTCTTAAATCAGATGTTGGCCTTCTCTCAGACATATTTAGGGACCAGGCGGAATTCCGCATGATTCCTTGGGACATCCATCGGATTTCTGCGGCATTCTATAGGGCCGCGTTGGAAATCAATCGGATTACGTTGGGCAGCTATACGAATCCTATTGGAACCGCTGGGAATCCCTAGGATGTCCATGGGAATCGTCAGGACATCTTTTCCATCCCCATGGCAATCAAAAAACAACCCTTAGGACATCCATCGGCTTCCGAAGGACGTCCGTAGGTTTCCTGAGGATACCCATCTGAACCCAAAGGGAAGCGAATTGATTCCTGAGATATCCAGGAGATCCCTGAAGAAATTCATAGAAGTTCTCGGGACATCCATGAGATTTCATGAGAATCGATGAGACTTCTTGAAGATGACGAGAATGACGATAATGGAGATCATGAAGACGATGATTCCTCGATCTTACGGCTCTTGGTGCTCGGCGAGACTTGGTTCCCAGCGCTTCCCTGGGAGCTCGAGATTCCGGCTGTTCTCGCCGAGCAACCTTTCTTGCGCGCGACCTGAAACCGCTCGCCCGCGCAGGCTCGGCACCCTTTGGATCCGCCCTTGCGCGGGAAGCACTTCGCGCGCGCTAGCGCTGCAGCCTGCGCCTCCTCGAGGCTGCCGTACTTGGGCTCTGGCGCCAATGGGTCACTCGGCGGCGTGGCCTCGCCCTAGCTCCTGGCCTCGGCCTTGGCCCTGGCCGCGGCGGAGCGGTTGTCGCTCGCGCCCTGCCGCTTCCGGATCCACTCGCTGCCGCGAGCGCACGCTTGGGCGACGCCGATGGGCGGCCGGCAGCCCTCGCCCGGATCTCGCGCGAGGCGCGCTCGAACCGCCTCGACGCCGCGGGGCCGCAAGTCCAGCCATCTGCTTGGGACATCTTGCTGCTGCTCGCAGGGCGCTCCCCGGCAAGGCCGATGGCGCCGCGCTTTCGGAGGATCTTCGCGGCGGCCTGCTTGGCGTTCTCGGACACCCGATTGAAGGCGTCGCGGCGCTCGACAGCCGCCCGCCCCCTGCTTGGGCACATTGAGGCAGGTGTAGTGCGTGGGGGCCTCGGAATGCACCGCGATCAGGAGGTGCTCGGCCTTCTCGCATCTCTCGGCCCAACGCTTCTGCTCTCCGGTCCGCTGGGCGGCGGGCTCGTCCACGCCCTGGGCCCCTCGAGCCCAGACGACGGCCGCCGTGGGCGCGATCGCCAGAGCGCCCTCTGGGACGCCCGCGCGCAACTCGATCTCGCCGAGCAGCGCTTTCACCGTGCCCAGCTCGAGGGCGTCGCCCATCTTGGTCTGCTCGCAGTTCATGATCGCGCACTGCTTGGCGAGCCCGGCGCGCCGAGATCCGCTGCTAGAGGCCTCCTGGACGGGGCCCCAGTTAGATGCGGTCGGAAGATCGCGCGGCATCGCCGGTGCATCGGCGACGCATCGGCCACGCGTCGATCTCGCATCGGCAACGTCGGCGACGCGTCGGCGACGTCAGCGCGGAGAAAGACGGGCTCCACATCGAGCCGCATCCATCTGGGAGGCGTGGGCCTGCAGATACGCCAGTTCAATGTGGCCGGCTTTGGGATCTTGTAGTCCTGCTCGACCGTTGCCTGCGGAGCTCGAGGATTTCTGAATTAATCCTCCGCGTTCCTGACATAATACATAAGGTTCCTCAGGACATCCATGGGGCCCTGATGGGGGCGCACAAGAACCCGGAGGAAACGCAACATATTTCGCAGGACACCCACCGGACGCCTTGAGAAGTCCATCGGGTTCCTTAGGCAGTCCATCGGATGCCTGAAGACACTCCACTGGATGCCGTAGGACATCCATAAGAATACGCGAGGAGTCTTGAGGATTTCCTCGAAAATCCATCGGGTTCCTGAAGACATCTGAAAGATGCCTTTGGCCATCCTTGAGACATCCATGGGAAATCCATCGGGCTCCTCAGGGCGCCCATCGGAATCCATTCGAAATCCATCAGTTCCCTTCGGAAATCCATCGGGCCCCTTCAGATATCCATAAGACCCCTTCGGAGATCCCCTGGATTCTGTCAGAAAATCAATCGGCAACCTTCGGGCAACCATCGGTTTCCCCAGGGAATCCATAGGTTCCATCGGTAATCCATTTGATTCCTTCGGAAAGCTGCAAAACAGCCAGAGGGGATCAGAAGGAAAAGTGTAAGTAGGGTGGGGTGGGGGGGGGGCGCGAGGTGGGGGGGGGGAACCCCATCGGACTCTTAAAGACATCCATAGACGTCTTTACAAAACCAATCGACATCTTTAGACAACCCATAGGACCCCAAATGAAACCAATGGGAACCCTTAGGACATGCATGCGGTGCCTTAGCACGTCAAGCGGATTCCTGAATACATCCATAAGATTCTGTAAGGAACCACGTTGGTTCCTTATGAAACCCATGGAATTCCTTAGGGCATGAGTAGGATGCCTTCGGACTTCTACTGGGATCCTGCGGAGACGCATGCGACTTCTAGGACATGTGTGGGGATCCTGAGGACATCCATGGGATTGATTCCTAAAGCATCCGCAGGCGTCCTGACAAAAGCCATCGGCTTCCTCTGGAAACCCATGGGACCCCGAAAATACATAGAGTTCCTTAGGCAATCCACGCAATCCATAGGGTTCCAGAAGAAATCTATACGATTCCTCCGAACGTGCATTTTCACCACGTTCGCCCATTCGGCTCCCACGCGGCGCAGAACGGCCAAAAAGCCTTCAATATCGACCCTCGCCAGCCCGGGGAGCTCCCAAAAAGGCTCCAAGACGGCGTCCGGGCGATCCACGAAGGCCTTAGAAACCGTAGCAACGGCCCAGGAAAGCCGCAGGAGGGCCCCAGGAAGGCCCCAAAACGGACCACGAGGGCCCCAAAGGCTGTCCGGACGGCCCACGCGGGGGGCGATTCTGTCAGAACCACCCGATACCGCCGCCAGACGGCCCCATGGGTGTCTAAGACGTGTGAACACGCAACCACGAAGCGTTCCAAAAAGGCCGCCAGAAGCAACAACCGTCCCATTCCTTAACGTAAACCGTGCATGTTCAGCACATTCGCTTCTCGGGCTTTCACGAGGCCCACGACGGCACAGCAAACCTCCAAGATCGCCCCCTGTCACCCGAAGAGGCCCCCAAGAAGGCTCCAATCCAAGACGGCTTCTGGGCGATCCACGCAGGCTCCAGAAACCGTAGCAACGGCCAGGGAAAGCCGCAGGAC